TGCTCTGAGCCCCGAATGATGGAGGACACAATCTGGTGAAATGAGGTTTCTCTGCAGGGCTGCTGGCCTCTCTCTGCAGGACTCGCTGATCTGGAAGGACCTCAGACAGGAGCAGAGATAGAGGAGCAAGTTTCGGCTTCTTCCATCTGTGTTCATCTGACATGGGCGGCATCAGAGGGTAAAGTTCATCGGGAAGAGGTCAGGTGAGCAGAAAGAAGGAAAAATACAGATTTATGGCGGAGAGAGGTCCAAACTCAAATCTTTTGCGCGTCCTCTTCTTGATTCCCCATGTGATGTCTCCTGGAGGCTGAATCGACCCCTTTAAGGCAAGAAGGTCACTTGAGTTTGATTATTCTTGTGCAGCCCCTTCATTTGTTATTCTAAACAGGCTGTCATTTGGCGATATAGCACTTACGATGATGACTAATGGGCTTTTTAGAGACTCCTGTTCCCGCTGGTTGCAGCTGGAGGAAAGAATAAAACTGTGTGAGAAAATAAATGAGAGCATTAATATTGTTTTAGGCTTTTATGTCATTTAATTGTGATGCTGGGCGGCTTCGAAAAAAAGGGTGTTTCTTCTGTTAGCTGGAAACCCAGATTTCCTTCAGTTCATGGTTTAAAACCCAAATATATCTTGATGATTCGGTTTGCTGAGAAGTTGTCGATCGAAAAAAGAAACAAGCTTCGTCTCGCCCTCATCTCGTAAATATCCGTGTAAAACCTCCTCTAGTTTCTGGGTTTTGCTTGATGCATTTGGTCAAACATCCGTCTCCTGCCTCCCCTCGATAGGGCCGGTCGTGGCGGAGGAGCGGGCGGCTTACCTGTGTGGATTTCCTTGGATGACGGCCTAATCATCTGGACCCCAGTCAGACGCCGGCTGAGCCAAAAGCTGCGACAGCACCAACAGATGGGCCCTCAAAGGACCCACCACATCTGCACTTCTACAGAGGGATGAAGAGGAGGATGAAGGAGGAGGGGGGGGGGTAAAAGAGACAGGAACTAATTCCTCTCATCTTCTGATTTCACGCAAATGAGTGCAAAAGGATGTGTGTAACAAGCTGGCATCAGGCTGAGGCGAGGTGAGCGGAGATCTGAGTCCTGAACACGCGCTCACTGAGGACGGGAACAAACACAGCTCTTAATTAACAACAAGGAACTTTAAATGATTTAAGGGAATACTCCGGACTTTAGCTTATTATAAACAGAGTGGGTGTTGTTAACCCAGACTTCCATCAACAAATTGGTCTGATGGCTCGTAAGAAAACTTCAATTTATGTTCTGGATAATGAGCGGAGCCGCTAATTAAAGGGAAATATTTGAAGACTTCACCGCCTGTCGTCCGTGTTAGAAGTTTCTCCGCGGATCTTTTTGTCACTTAAGCTTTACTTTATGTCCTGCTTTATGGAAATGTCCGGCTACAGCTCTGAGAAGACTAAGTGGATATGTCTCCTTTATCACAGCTTTCATTTGAGTCACTTGATTGAAACAAATTAAATCTACTCTTAACAAATGGTTCGACGGCTGAACTTACTAATGCACAAAACTCCCAAAAAACTATCCGAAGTTTGAAGAGTGAGTTTACCGTGTCACTTTACTGCAAGTCAACATTGGCTGCTGACATATTTCTATCATATAATGTCAACCATGGAGAGGAGAGAGTTTGTAAAAGATGATAAAATTGGGTGACCATATTCTTAATCCCCAAAAAGAGCACACTTCTACGGGGCGGAGTCACACGCAAAATTTTGGGGGGGTTTGTCGGGTCGAGTGTTTTTTACGTGCTTCTAAATCAGTTAGTCCACGCTACACAAACTCAAAACTTCCATACAAAACCCAGGACTTTTAAAGGATTTTATAAACTCCCCCCGGACAAAGCCAGACAGCCCCCAAAAAGAGGACATGTCCGGGTAAAAGAGGATGTATGGTCACCCTCGCTGAAAACTTTTGTGTTGCACCAGTGTGCAGCTGACTGACTCTGGTTGCAGGAGTTGGCGCAACCCTGAAGGCATACTGGGTTAACCCACAGCTAATTTATTAACCTGGAAAAGAGGAAAGATTTAAACCCTGCTCTGACATGGTAAGATGGATCACAAACACCTTGAGTACGAGAGTGCAACCTTTATGGATCTGAAGTCATACATGTATTTCATGTGTCAATCCATCAAAATGTAGATTTGTCTGCTGCTTTGTCCTACACATAGACTGTTTATACTATGGACAACTTGGCTCCGCCTTCCGTCATTATACGAATTTGAAGCCGAATTGCTCTTGTTATTTGGGGGACGCTCGGCTCAAACAGCGTATCCCCCTGGTGAGCTACGCAATCTTTGTAGGCCAATAGTCTGTATCAAGTGTCAATCATAGAAAACATGAACCCCCTAGTAACTTTTAAAAAAACGGAGCTGCTCAGAAAAAAAGAGGACTTGAGCACAAACCAGTCTGACAGTAACTACATGTCAACATCGCAACCAGAGGGGAGAAAAACTTATGTTCTGTGTAATTAAATTCTAAGGTTCGTCCACAGCTCCATAGAGATTGCTGGACGAGGCAGGATTTATGACCTATACTGCAGCCCGTCACCAGAGGGTGCTGTTCTCGCGGTGGCTTCACCCACCGAGGCGAGGAGGCAGACGCGTCCATTCTATATACAGTCTATGATCGTACATTATTTTTCCAAACATGACAGTGTGACTTTCACTGCATGCTTTCAGTGTCACGTCCTGTCCCCTTTTGGTTTGAGTTTCCACATTTAACAGGACTAAAGTACAACAAATATGAAAAAGTCGCTGAATTAGCTGACGGGGGGAAAACATCTTAGTTATTTTAAAATCAAGTCCTGTTTTATGTGAGTTAAAACGAGAGTTTTCGTGGACTAAAGGGAGTTCAAATGAGGTGAGATGTATGTACTTAGATTCATAGACAGCACACACTCTGTAACACTCACACTCCTGCTGCCGTCATAATTACTCCAGTCTGTGTGTCTGTGTGTGGTCTGTATCTAGCTTTGAATGGCCGACCTCCCCGCACATGATGCAGCTGTGGCTGTTCAGCGCCACAGTAGGAGATTCCCCAGGAAGTTGCGCGGCAGGGGCGGCGACCCAGGAGAGCGATTGAAGCTGCAAAAAGGCGGATCCTCTTCTGTCCATGTGCTGACCCTCATTCGTCTCTCCTGGCTGATGATGCTGAAGTCAGCCTGGTGAGAGGAAGCGTCGTTCTGTCGCTGAATTACCAGCTTGATTCATCTCTTTCAAACATCGGGGCTTTTACTTAAAATGTGAGTTTTTAGCTCTCTTTAAATCAGTATAAACCAGCTGCAGGACCACATTTTGTCTAGAGCTAATTAGAAATTTTGGGACCTTAATGTCACATTTAAATGAAGACTTTTTTTTTTATCAAGCATCATCGCGTCAAAAACAGACATGACTCTGTTGTTGAAATCACTGCATGGTCTCGAAACCACTTCCACAAATGCAGGTTAAAACTAAACCGAGGAGAAGTGGACAACTACGTTGTGGTTTCACAAAAAATCGTACAGTCTTTTTGAGAATCGTGCACATTTTCTCCACCCTGCATTTAGTTACAAAAACAGCGCCCCTGATGGTGAGGAGGTGTAAGTACCTGGAGCAGATTATGCGAGCATCCAGGTGGACCTTTCTCCAGGCATGACTCCTCTTTCTGTTTGGTTTTTGCCATATTTTATCCTCATGTTCTTGTTACTATTTTTTGTTTTTCACTCTTTTTCCTTCGCTCAGTTTTCAGTTTTCTAATTTTACTTTTTTGTTTTTTCCTCCTTTTCTGCTGAGTCATCAGTGTCTTGGTTCTCTCACCTGTTTCTCATTTCTCTCTTTGTGTATAAAGTCTTTGTTTTTCCCTCCTCCTGTGTGGGTTCATTTTCTCTGTTTGCTCCAGTGTCATTGCATTTCAAGTCTCTAGTGTTTTTGTTCTTTTTTTGTATTTGGATTTTTTCCATTGGACGTTTTTGTTATTTGCCTTTTCTTTGATAGTCTGAATTTTGAGTCCTTTTCTTTTGTTTGAACTCCAAAGACAGGGTCAAACAACAAACTGCACTTATTACAACAGTGTGGCTCAGTAGTGGAAGGGTCCTGCCTGCAGTCCTGACTCGTCACATTTGGCGCAGCATGAAAATGAAGATAAAGCCAAGTCGATCGAGCAGTGTCTTTACGCTATTTTCAACACTATAAAGACTTGCAATGATTTTCAAATCTCCCAAACATGTCGTCGTTTGCTTTTAACGTCGACACAACTGTAACTGTTTTGAAATCAGGCTTGTAGTTGTTGTTTCTCTTTGTGTTGAGCTGCATCTCTCTGTTGTTTGGATCCATACAGGGTCATTTTTTAATGCTTTATTTTTCTCTCTCTGTTTGGAGTCTAAAGCCTTTTTGTGGGTCGTTTCAGTTGTTTTGAAGCGTCTATTCAACATTTTTGTTTTGTTTTTGTCCTCATGTGTGAGTGTTTTATTTCTCACTCTTTCTGTTGTTTCTCATAACTGCAGAAATCAGAGACAAAAACTACAACTGATGCATCTTTGTCATAAAAAATCGCGTTTGTAGATGTTTGTTGTATTTCTGTAGGTTTATATTTGCTTTCTTGTTGTTTCGTTTCTCTTTAGAGCCTCTTTTTGTTATTTTGGTGCTTGTTTCTCTGGTTTTGGTTCTTATTTGGTTTTCTTTTTTTGTAGTTTTCTGTCTCTTTATAGTTTCTGTTTTTTGTTGAAGGCCTTGAGGAGAGGATGCTGCCCTCATTACACATCAGAAATCACACATCTCTTCCCTCTTTTTTTCCCCTCTCACATAAAAAATATAAAACCTTGCAGAGATTTGCATATATCTACTCTTTCCTCGCCAGCCTCTCTGGTGCGTCTGCTCTGAATTTGCGGCTGTTTTGCTTCCATAATTTGGCAGGGGTTGCCCTAATGTGCCGTCTGTAAGCTCCGTAAGGCTAATATCTGCACAAACAGGTCAATAAAAATCAAGCTTTAATCAAAAGCAGAGCGCGCACAGAGGCTCAGCTCGGGGACTCCTCCAGACTCTGTTATCTTCACGCTTTATTTTTATTGCTGCTATTTCTGCGCCGCAGCGACAGCAATGTTTTGAAGATAAAGCCTCCTGAAGCGGCCCAAAAGGGGGGGACATCCAGCAGTGTGTCTGGTGAGGATGATGGTTAAAGGACCCGGTGTACAGTGATGGTGGGGAGCAGATGACTCACCCAGATGGCAGAGAAACTATAATCGCTCTGTCTGTGAGTCAAAGCTGCCACGCTGCTTCGCTCATTGCCTCCATTTCCTTGTGGACCAATCGCACCATATCGCTCTGCACTGGACCCCCCTCTGAGCGGTCCACGATTAGGCGTGTTAGCCCGGCAACAACGGGCCTGATTGCGGTTACCTTCTGTGTTTTCTAATTTACACTCAGCTTGTGGTGCTGTGAAGTTTGAGAGCTGAAAAAGGGAAGAGTTTAAGAGGAGATGAGTTTAATTCCTCTTTCATAACAGGCCACAAAATCAGTCATTAGCCGCCACATGTGCGCGGCTCCGACTCCTATTGTCTTTGTCTCATTTAATGCCTGTCACGTGTGAAATGAACTATCAGGCCACCTAGAGCACTTATGATAAAAAATGACGGGCGAAATCCTGAAATATGGCGCTTTATGGGAGCCGGAGCCTACTTTTACAAGGTTAATGAACTCTCACTAACTTTAATAGTCTGTTTTCCGACTCATGCATCTTCATAAAGCGCCCTTCCCCAAAGTCTGCAGGCGAGAGGTGCCATTTCAAACAGCTGTGCCAGGCGTACTCCCGCTAAAAATGAGAGGGAGCCACATGATGAATCGCACCCACCTTCTACTTCCCTCCATTTCCCCATTGTTCTTCTCACCTGGCAAAGCGACGGTGGATTACCGCCATTTCCCTCGACGCCCGGAGCTGAGGGAACGAAGAGAAAGAGCAAAGAGGAGGAGGAAGTTCAGTGAGTTCCTAATCACCTGGTCCAAAAAGAGAGGAAGAAGAGGAGAGGAGGTGGCATCCCAAGAGTGGTTTTAACGAGCGCGCCGAGGAGAGAGCTGGAGGCCTGTTTCCCGCTGAAAGACTGTTAACTTCACTGGTGTGTTTGGGATTAATGAATCTGACAAACACACGGTTTAACAGCAGCCCCTCACACCTTTAAAAAGAGAGTACCCGAGAGCTGACATGTTGGTCTCTGCTGACGCTCCGCAGCTCTTCGCAGGTGTTTGGTTTCTCTTTGTGATCGGTGCATCCTCCTTGTGATACTGTTCGCTTTTAACATTCATTTATTCATTTCATTTATTTATTGGTATTTTTAATTGCATTTCAATGTTTTGCAGAAACCTTCTCGACAAAGCGTGCAACCGAAGGGCTCACTGGGTTAAAGGGATATTCTGGTGTAAAATTAATTTAGGGTCAAACACACCGTAACACAGAGTTAGACACCCCGTCGAGAGATGAATGTTGCCGAGTGCTTGCTTCTCTAGTTATACCAGATTTCATGTTGTTGCGACGTCAGATTCACCGGTATATCCAACATGGCCGACCAGCTGATTGTTTACGTGTCGGAGATCAGAGGGATTTTGATAAAAAACACAAACATTACAAAGATAAGGTCCTGAAGGACGACTTGTGGAGAGTCATAGCGTCGGATTTCTCATATGACGATGGTTTGTGTGCTTTAACAGTTTGATAAACGTCTTTGTTTTAACTCTCATCTGTGCTGAGTAACTTTAGCTCGGAAGCTAACCTGTTCAGATACAATATACCATATGTATTTTTACTGTCACAGCACCATTAGGTCTTGGTTGTTACCTTACGTTTATGGATTATAGTTTAATGTGTTTATCTGGTACTGGCCCCGACTCAGTACGTGCTATCATGACAGACAGACATCTCAACACTAGAGTCTAATCAGAACTGAAAAACACTCAGTCTGCCGTTGTGTCAGTCTTCTCGCTTCCACGCAGGATGCGTCCTCTTTCCCCCCAGAAAGTTGCAAAATCACATTGTGCTTGATGTGTATAGTCAGGTGCGTCAAAATTCGCCTCCGAATATTTTGTAATTTCGTGTCGTACATTTGCGTCGTTCCCGGTGTGTAAGGACCTTAAGGCAGAAGAACTACCGCGTCTGAAGTGCAAAATGATTAATATGGTGATTTTTACTTCAGGGAAATGATAAAAAAAAAAAGATCATGAATGTTCTTCCTTGAGCTGCGTCAACCCGCTGTAGTCCATAATGGACTGGCCTGAGGTTTCACTACAAACAGCTGCTGGAGGAGAGTGGGTAAGTTGTGTTTAGTCTCTTTGCTAAAGAAATTAGTCAAAGTTAAAAAGATGTTTGGTGTCTAGTTCTATGACTGAGACCCTTTATGTCCTGTTGATGAAGTTAGGTGCTGTTCTGAGCATTATTTGTGGCTATAGAGTGGCGTTTAGTTGAGGTTTGTATACGGCTCCGACCCTAAAGGAGTCCCTTGTAAGTCCTTTCGTCTCTCTTTCAAACACAGACACCTCCAAACGTATCTCCTTCTTCTCTGTTCTCGCATGTTTTGTTTGTCATCTTCTGATTCTTTTGCTCATTTTTTTAAGTCAAACTTGTTAAAAAAAAGAAAGAAAGATGATGCCACAAACCTTAATGAGAAGTAACATTCGCTGAAACACGCTGCTGCACATGAGCATCGCAGTCACGCACAAACAAGCTCTAAAATAACAGGTGTTTCAAACAATACATCCCTGGAGGAGTGAGACAAAGGAGGGTTTATTTTGGGCTCCTCCACACAGCCATGTATACAGAGGAGGCCCGGGGAGCTGGCAGCTACCTCTGCTCTTATTACTCGTAGCCTTTCTCCTCTGACACCAAACTAAGCAGTGACACCGGCTGACATTTAAAACAGCGGTGACAGCGACAACATCTCAAATGTTGCAACCCTGAGAGGAGAGACACGATCTGGGTTAGGGGAGATGCGGGCGAGGGTGAAAGTTCCGCAGCTGATCTCTCCTTAAAAAACAAAACCTGTGTATGAGTGAACGGGAACAAGATTTTTAATGTGTCACTTTGTTTTAACGGCATTTTACTGTAAATCCTGCAGCATCCAAAGGCTCCTTCTCCCTGACACACACCCACATACACACAGGTAGGCCACAAACACAGGTAACAATTATCCATGTCAAAAACGACAAACTTAATTGCAGCCTTCATTTGCTTGTGCTGCGGCACTGAGAGCGGTGAGGTTTATTTGGCATGTCTAAACTTTGGGAAAATGAGCCGAATAGAGTAAAAGAGCTGTGATTTTTTTAGGAGAACATTAAGAGCTTTTTCAACGTTATGATTATTCTGCCCTTGAATCACTGCATCTGCAAAAATCCCCGAATGTGAATAAGCAATGAGAAAAGCGACAGAGACACAGAACAGTGGAAGAAGTAAGACGATTTCATTTGGACCTGTAAGGTGGAATATTTCCCCTCACACTCAGACTGAACTGTGTCACATTAACACTTTTACTTATTTATTCATTCCCTAAAAATAATCTTCTCTCCTCGTCGGTGTCAACACGTCTAACCTTTGTGTGTTTACAGCTGATGTGCCTCTCACCACCTGGATTTATTTTCATAGCGTCTCTAAGCAGAAGTTGATTTCAGTTTGGCTGAACAGAAAAGACGAAGATGAAGCAGAACTGTGAATATGTGAGTACGAAGTTTGTAAATAGATGGATTAAACTGACATTTTTCTGACAAATCTATGAAACTAAAGCAACTCTGTCTTTTTAATGTTGTTTAGGTTAACTCTGAAACCACTAAAGGAAATATATCTTCATCAAGCATCATGTTGACCAGATTCCAGGATGAGACATTTGGATATACATCTTTAAAGGTGGGTCACCTTACGAAAGGGGTAGAGACTTTTAAAAGGCCACTTAAAGCTCTATTAAGGAGTTTTTCAGCATGTAAGAAATGGACTTAAATCATATTTATGCAGTTTTATGATACTGGATGGCTAAGAAGACCACCAGCAACATGACTAATGATTCTGAAATTGTGATTTTAAATTAGTGAAATCAGTGCGGGGGGGTAGGTGTTGTCCCAGCATCCATTAAAACAGCTATATTTCACAATTTTCACATCAGATATTTACAGCCGATGGTATGATTTTTTGTTCAAAGTTACTACTTAAGTGTATAGAGGACAAGATAAGTATGGATTAATTTATCCACAGGGGGCGCCAAAATTTGCAGAAACCAAAAGTTCCAAACCAAAAGAGCTTTTACCAGGATTATAACAATTTTTACATTTTTATTTATTTATTTATTTTAGTTTTTTGTTTCCAATTTTAAATATTTTGATTATTTTTTAAGGGTAACTTTGAAGTTTTTTTTAGTTTGCAGTTTAAAAAAAAAATTTGTTTAGTTTTTATTAGCTTACTTTTTGTAGCAATGGCGTACTTGTTGAGGCAAAAAGTTAACTTGTAAAAAAAAAAAAAAAATCATATTTAGCTATCACTCTTGTCACAAATATAACACACTTTAAAATTAAATTTAATGCTGGTTTTACAACAGATATGCAATAATAAATGCTATATATTGGTGTGTAGGATCATATACTTTATGGCCACCCCAGCAGTGTCAGTGCCAGGGTTGGGGCACCCCATTGTAAAGATCTGAACACACCCCTGCTCATTAGCAAAGCCCACTGATTAGTGGGGACTAAAGTGAAAGACAGGGGTTTAAAAGTTGGACAACTCAAGGATCTCTGTTACTGTGGAGCGCCACTCTTTCTCCAGATTAGTCAAAGTAGATTGCTCTTTGTCAATCCCTACGCTCCCCTTCATCTAGATTATCAAAAAGGGGAAATTTTGTTAAACAACTCAGAATAAGAGTGTCCTAAAAATGTATGTTTCTTCTTTCTATGACAAAATATGAGCAGGGTAGCAGACTTTGCATATGTGTGAATTAGAGTATTAGTGGTAATAGTGGTTGGCAGCTGGACCCCAAAACAGTCAGACGTGTAGGTTACTCTGGTCTGGCTGGTTTTTTAGACTCAGCAGAATGTGTGGGGTGTGTTGGTGTTAGAGGTGGAGGACCGGGGCTGTGACAACATCACAGGGTGGTCTCAAAGTTCAAGAATAACTACAGTATGTATGTTTAAAAGTTATCCATCCATGAAACAAGACAGCAGATCATTTCCTGTTCAGTCTCCGGTGGCCCACATCCAACCTGAGCTGTTTCAGACTTTAAATCCTTTTGCACACGTCGACTTAAAAACAACAAAGGTAGAGAAAATTAAAGCGATCCGAAAAGAAACAAGGTTTAACCTTGTTACACAGAGAAATCTGTGAGTATTCACTGAAGCTTCGTATTGTTGTTTTATTTGCTTCCAGTGTCAGTCGGGGGAGTGTGAAGATTAGAGCGTTAAGCGTAACATGGGGAAACAACAAGCAGCAGCGACGAAAACTAAGAAAACAACAGAACAAACGAGTCACACAGGAGGCCGAGGAAATATGAGGATAGAATAAATGCAGAGGCAAAAACAAAGGCGAGAAAGTGGAAAAGGAAAACACCAATACGACCTGAAAGATAATAATTTAGATGAAGAAACAGAGGGTCTGAGGTCTGACTGAGGTCGCTTGAATCACCTTCAGCCTCTGCAGAGCCTCTGTGGAGGATCAGGACCAGGATGCTACAATATTACAAAACTGCAGACGGATGCAGAGGTGGAAAAACACAAAGACAAACTTGGTGAGTGCTCCAGGAGAACCTCAACAGGAAATACAGAATCTCACTACAAACAGGAGGCAGCAGCTGGAGTTGAATTAGTGTCTATTAACTGTGGATTAAAATTTCAGGGAACTCTACTGTAATGGGGACAAGAGGAAACCAAGTACCAAGTTAGGACTCGTATTTGCTCAAAACAGTTGCAAGACAAGTCGAAGAGCAGATTCCAAGTGCAGATGTAAAAATTTGAGAGTTTCGAGGGCAAGACCAACAAAACACGAATCAAGTCCTTTAGGGAAGGTCTTAAAGTTAAAGAGAAGAGGAGAGCAAGTCTCAAGTCCAGTTTCCCATCTAGTCAAAGCCTGACTGCTCCCTTGCTCACCCCTCCTGTCAACTAAGTGATGGTGGGCTAAGAGGACCAGAAGCTCCTGATGGCCCTACATTTGAAAAAAAAAAACATATATTCTACAAATAAAGGAAGGCCCACTCCACTGTGAATCTCAGAGAGTCATTTCAAATTGACAAAAGCTAAATATCTTCTTATC